ATTCGATTTTGACCCGTTTTATTCGATATTTTGATTTATTCGATTTTACCCATACTGATCAATTAGATATTTTGGTTGCTAGTAAGCTGTAAAAATTATTCAAATTCGCAGGTTTTTGTAGCACGAATACTGCTAGAGCGTTTGTTTTTAAGCCGTGTCATCCGAACCGACTTTGGGATGGTAAATAAGTTCTAAAATTTTTTTTGTTCGAGTAAAAAGGGGGAAGCCGACTCGACTGTAGTCTCCCTTGCATCCGTTTTTAGTGTCGTCACGCAACGCTCCCTTAAAACGGATGCGAGGGAGACTAACTCGACTGAGTTAGGATAGAAAAGAGGGATTATCAACATGTGTGACCAATATGTAACACGATACCCTGCAAAATCTTAACGTGACACTGCACACAGAGATGTTCCGGCACAATTTATAATCTTTACGTCTGCACAACGAACGAGTCTCTTCATGTCATACCAAGCTGTATGTTGCGTTTTTTAAAAAAATCAACGGATTCTGGAATATGGCGTAAAGCAATCTTTATCAATAACCATTTAATCCGAGGAAAAATATCAACGGGTTGAAATTCTAAACTATCTTAAGGTCAGTCTTGTAATATAGCTACACGCCCTATCGATCGTTGGTTAGGAAGAACTTTGTGACTATTCCTTTATTGCTGATGGATCATTTACAAGACCTTGGTTATAAGATTGGACATAACATGTTGATTATGTAAAGTTTTGTCTGTATTACAGAGGTGGATGCTGCCAGCATGATAAGATTGAGACATGGCCTATCAGTTATTACTTGTTAGTGAACGCCATAGATTATTGGGTGTTTATGGATTCTGCTATTAATATAATTAACGTATTATGAACCTTTGTCTTAGTAATATTAGTTTTATGACATATTTATTTACAAAACTCACAGCGGATTTATCCTTTAGATACTGTAATGGTTGGTTTTAACACGCATCCTTTAATGAATAACTACATACATATCGTCCCACCGGAAATGGATATACGAAAAGTCGCACTTCCGGTTTATAACAAATGGCTTTATAAACCAGATGTGAAATAAATAAGCTGCCATCATCTCACAAAAACCATTAAAATAAAGCAAAAAAAGTTGTTAATGATTTAACCCCTACCTCAAACATCATAAAGAACCTTAATTGGRCAACTAATCGTGTCATGAAAAAAAAGTAAGAAAAATCTTTGTGACTGCTTTTCCGTTTTGAAATCGGAAGTCCTTTTTCAAAACGATTGGCGTCGCACTTAAAAACTCCAGTTTTTTCTTCTCATTTCAGTAAAACCYCAGATGCACGAAGTTAAATCAATCCAAGGTGATAAAACGCAAGTAAAAACAACTTAAGATTTGGGAATACAGATTACGTCATGCCATTGCGAAAACGACAAGAATGGATTTCCTCGCTTCTTTTTATTTTTTTGCTGTCCCTTCATGTCGGATCCAGCACCGATTACTTCAAAATTTTCCGTCGTCGTTCTGTGCTGCCAGGCAGCCAGCAAGACTCGTTCCAGACTTCACAGTCTTTGTGTGGGACAGCAAGCAATTACCATTGTCATGACTACGGAGCTCAGCAGACCACGTGTACCTCCTGTACTTGCCCAAGTTCTAGTGAAACATTGAGGTACACGCATGCTCAATGGAAATGCATTGGGAAAAGTGAACTTCGTAAGGAAACCGGTAAATAATTTCAGATAACTATTGAATCCCAGTGTGCTATAAATTATTGATATCTTTGTACTCAATATGTCGTATGTGATTGGCTGAAAACATTGGCAGCAAATCTCTCTCCCCGTAACAGACGTTCATAGGATCGTCACTACACGACACGACACAACACGGCAAGGCAAGCGCCAGACCAATCAAATTGCACGAGAATTTACTCTCCAACCAATAAAATGCCCGGAACACGGCATAAACACGGTCGCGGTTACGGCACGGTATTAAGTAATAAAAAAATCTGCCAATCAAAATTCTAGAAAACATCACGGTCGCGGCRCTGCCCAAGACGACAACGACTTTTTCACAGATACGAAAACTACTCTATAGTAGTTTATTCAAGGCCACAACAATAATTGAAATATGTTTGCTTTTGTGTATATGGTATAAAATTTAATGAAATCTGTAAATCTGTGAAAATGTTCATTTTCGAAAAGAAAAAAGAAAATCTTCATTTTCAGTCTGCAATCCCCCATCCCCCTGACGACCTTTTCATGAAGAATTAATTGATGTGCTGGGTCATTGACTTGTAACTAGTGCACCCCATCCTATAAGAAATCCAGGATCCGCCCCTGAATCTTTTCCAATAATTCTCGATTCATGTGGGCTATACTGCCTCGTTGAGGCGGAGCTAACCACTATKTCATCATAGGAAGCCAAGCATTCACAATTTAACTCTCACGACAATTCCTATCGGTCTCAGATCACCCATTCCYCATTATCTCTGCTCATCTAAATTTATATATCTTCTCTAATTATGATTGTTATAATTGTTATCATTAATTTTATAATAACTTTTTTTCTTTTATCACGTCATTTTCTTAAAGCAGTAGCCATGCGTTTATTATAGTTACGGTGTATTTTTAAGTTAGTTTACGAAAGAAAACGTTTCAAAGAAAACACTTGAAATTTTTAAATGCTTCAACTTCTTCAAAAACGATCGTCGGGTTGTCTAGACTATAAYGCTTTAAATGCCGTTAAAACAAGTACACAAAGCAAGATCACTATGGCTAATGGTAACTCGATTACTTAATTTGTTGCTAGAGTGATTTTCATATGATCGTGAAAGAATAGGCAAACTAATAGTTAGTAGTAGACTCTAAACCAATGATTTTCTTTTGTTCTTTATCAACTATTACAAACTAAATGGTCTATTTTCTTTCACGGTCATATGAAAATCATTCTATTATCCTACTAGCCTATTCAGAGGCAATACTTATATACCTCACAAATTTTAATCTGAGAATCAATCGTTCAGGGCAGTAAGTAGTAAGGAGTAAAGAGCAACTGTTTATCTTACCTGTTGATTTATTAGTAGTGAACTTGCTCTTGCATGGTTTCTTGGTGTCGTTGTCGAGTGTAGCCGTCCTCAAAGCTTTCAAAAGATATAAGAGTACAAATGCTTGAAAATGCTTGAAAATGCTTGAAAATTTACTCCCATGTGAAGTTTAAATAATAGAGAAAGCGCAACTTCCACCAATTATTATCCACAGTCATTTTTAAAGGCAACAACTATAGAGACAAATAGCTCGTATCAAAAGACTGCCAAACCTTATTTCATTGCCACACGTCGCCGTTGTTGACGCGTGTGCGACCCATTCGAGTGTTGGCGGCAAAATCATATGCTAATTAGATTAATTTAAATGACAATTTACTTCCGCTAACCATCTTTCTGGCCGCCGTCCTGTGTTTTTTTGAGATCCTTTGTTGTTAATTACCCAGGGCGATCTAATAGATGAAGTAAAAACTTTAATAACAGGTATTTGTGGTTGATCATCACAGGCTGTTCAGTWAAAGTCAAAGGCGAGCTGCAGTTCCAGCCTCTTCTTCTCGTTCAGACCGGAAGTAAATATTACATCGACCTACCGATGGATCAAAACTGTTCGTACATCTACWCACAAGACACTTATTATCGAACATGCAATGGGAAATGGTCAATGGCTGGTGGTATTGGAAGTGGATCCAGATATGTCCTTCAAGTCATCAAGCAACGGAACAGATATCGATATTGGTTGGATGTATGTATCAGTATTTATACGACTTTTATTTTATATAAGAGTAATTTGTACGCATTTCCATGTCCAAATATTCACAAAATTGGGGGTGACTTACTATAAAGGCCGCATAATACTGAGAAATTTGAGCAATTCACCGTTAGAGCGCTAGCGCAAACGTGTTGGTTGTGTTGCAGTCACCAAAAAGTTCGGGCATYGGTCTCGGATTCCCACACGAATTCACTGAATTTAAAAAGAAAAATCGATTCCTTTAGTTACTTCTCTAAACAGCAGGGGCGGATCCAGGATTTTGTTCAGGGAGGGGTGCACTGCACAAAGTTAACCCATGGAGGGGTGCACCCCTTAGAATCAAAGGGAAAAAACATGGTTATCTTCGAAGTAGAGGCACAGAGTTGAACCAAGGAGGTGTGCGCACCCCCTGCACCCCTCCATTGGATCCGCCACTGAACTGCATTAAGAAAATATTCAATCAAGTTAGAAAAATTAAATTTTCCTTTTTTTTATAGCTAACTAAACAAACCGAGTAAATAATTTGTTTAAAAAGACAGTACATTGATAGGGAAATCTAAGAACAATGTCCGAACCTCTTGGCGACCGTAACACAATCCAACCTTTTTATACCGCGTGATGGCTAGCGCTCAAAAGTTGAATTTAACCACTCTGGATCCGCCCCGGCGCTGTAATAAGCCACGAACAACCAATTGAAATGCTGTTCTGAACGTGATCCAATTTCYTTGCTTTTAGATCCAGACTGACGACCAAACAGTCAATGTCTTACAAGGAAGAATCATAAAACTGAACATTACGTGCAGYAAAATCGGTAGTTCAGTTCCTTTGAGCACGTGTTTTTTGTTCAAAGAACCTTACTTCAGCAAACCGATTTCATGTGAGTAAGACTATTATAACTGACCAGATCGATTCTCATTTATTTCCAAATTTCTCATCGAGCTAAGGCGGCTGATCGAGTCAAGTAACGAGCGAACTTTTCATCGCGAGCTGCATTGTAATGCTCTCTTGTTTCATTGTGTCTCCCAATGTTTACTTTGTAATATAGATCGACTTTCTTTTATGCAAAATTTTAACTTAACTTTTTTTTTTTTTTTTCAATTTTTTTAATTGCATGTACGTTCGTTCAGGTCCCATTTACCAAGCTCTTGTGACAACTACAGCCACATCCACGCCTTCGTTGATTCCAACCTCAAAGCATGAGGTGATCCCAAATTCCACGGATGTTAATCAAACTGTTCAAAGCACGGAGAGTACTGCTACTAGTACATTATCCCCGACACCAACATTTCAAGTAGTAAGTCTTGAAACCGAAACAAATAAATTTAGTTCAAAAATATTAATTTGGGTCTAAACCAGATCAACCCTTCTCCTCCTTCTCCTCCTTCTCCTCCTTCTCCTCCTTCTCCTCCTGCTCCTCCTCCTCCTTACCTCCTCCTCTTACTTCTCCTTTCCTCCTCCTCCTCCTCCTCCCCCTCCTTTTTCTCTTTTTGTTTCTCCTCCTCCTATTCCTTCTCCTTCTCGTTGTTCTTTTTAGGTTTCTTCTTTCTCTATTTCTTTTTGTTCTTCTTGTCCAGCAATGCTTTTCCCGCCAAAGATTCCGTCAGTACTCTATTGTTTCTCGTTCTTCCTTGTTTCTCTAAATAGTTTGTATACGTTTATAATGCACTAGAAACATTGAGCAGAACGCAACCTCACTTTCCTTATTTATATCCAGCTACAGACGTCATCTGTTTCTAATATCACTCATCATCATCATCAATCAGATAAAGAGGCTCAATCGCGGGTGGATAAAAAGATCATCATCAGTGTGTCAGCGGTAGCAGGTGCCTTACTGGTTGTTATAGTAACAGTCATTTGTATTGTTATTTGCTGCAAACGACGTAAAAGGTAAACAAAATGAATATCTCGTTAATGAAATGATAATCGTGGCCGAAATAAAACTTATTCTTTTAACGTTTTCCCATTTTAAACAATGTGTCATTCCCTTGAGAATAATAATATTTGTTCACTCGTGTATCATAACTATCTTCGCAAGTGTTAAATACTGATAATCAAAGGAATGATACTTAAGGGAATGGCCATGATCTGAAACGAAATAAACAATCGTTAAGGTGATTTATAAATAATATCATCAAAGGTACGACGTATCGCARTGAATTGTGCACCTTAACATGGAAAGTAGACTGTGTGTGTCCGCTCTCCCCTTTCCTGCTAAGAAGAACGGAAGGAAACGAGCGACACTCTTTCTCAAGCAGTTTCCCTCGAATGGGGAAGGGAAGAGCATATGTACACAGGCTAAGTTATCAATCATAATATTTGCCGCACTATATTGGGATTTTAAACATGTATTTTGAAGTATCATTGTGCTTTTGGCATCTCATATATTCTAGTAAACTACTGACCATGATATATGGTTAGACCACTGACAAACTACTTTTTTGCAGAAAGAGTGCTGCCAAGTATACCGCTGCACCTCTCAGGTTTGTCGCGTCAAAATCTTTCCTTAACATCAATTGTATTGTGATAATCATAAAGAACCCAATTGTGAAGCATCTTATTACTTTTCTAGGATCAATGTTCTGCAGGAGTTTACGATGAAACTAACATCAATATTCCATCCGCTCTGAAGTCTGCAAGTCTGATGAGTAGGTTGCACTAATATGCCTCCCTAACATTCAGTGTTCAAAGCAAGTGAATTTCTGCAAAGCCTAAACTATATACTCGCCTTGTGAAACAATTTTTAGTGCTAATCAACGAAGTGTGATGTTTTAGTTAGGTCACTCCATTACATCTCGTCCCTTACAACTGAGTTAACTAAGAGAATGATCCGTTTTTTATGAATGCAAAACGTGGTCTTTGAATTGCGTTTATTCCCACAGGCCACAGTAATCCAGCATATGAAAGAGGACAAGACTTATCGATCTCGGTTAAGTCTTCCCGCCATGCCTCCAGTCAATCTAGACTCCAGTTCGATGATCCAGAATTGTTCGATGGACCAATGTTAATTGAAAACGAAAGCAGAGTTAACGAAGCGGCGGCAGCTCAACCTATCAAAGGAAACATGATCGTTGCCTATGAAAATGTGATTATCTTACGTCAGGACACACCAAGGGGTAAGCACTCTACTTAGTGTGTCTTGAGTTCGACATTAAAGGTTCAATCTGTTACAAACAACACCATGTGAGGTATAGTGATAAAAGGATAAATGCACCAGAATGCAACCCTGTGCAGTGGCGCGTGCCGTTTCCATATAAAGCAGACAAAAAAACTCTGTGAGATTGCGAAACAAATAGCGGATGGGGCGTAGAACCTTGCCTGATCTTCTCGTGCACATGCTGCGCGTGCTGCATTCTTGCTGCGCATGCTAGCTCTCCTTTCGTTAAAATTATAAAATGTCATTTCTCGTTATTTTTAGATAGTGTTGCAAACGCAGAGGCATTCTACGAAAATCCAGGTACCCACACCCCTCATTATCACGTTCTTGAGAATCCTCGGGACGCTTCGTGTCGTTTGGGATCTTACATGGCTCAAGGAACACATGAAGACTATCATCATGATTCTTTACAAGAGGATGAAGCTCAAAACTCTTATAACGATACGTATACAAACGACGACGAACCTATCTATGTAAATCCCGCGAGTCCCGTGAGCACCGCGGGTAGTACGCGGGATATACCGGATCCAAATTATTACCAAGATGAGGAATATAATGTATCTTTTTTTGACGATGCTGAAGAACGCAGCGAGAATTGGGACATTTATGCTAATTCAGAAGCAATACGAAGTTCATATATGGAAGACAACGCCATCAATAATCCTGGATATATACCTGATGACGAAGACGAGCATAATAATCCAAATATATCGACTGACGAGCCCATTTACGACAACCAGATAGACATTGATGACGGGCACAATACGTCAGGGGATCCCCCGTATGCACTCTTAAGGGACCAGCCCAATGAAGGAGTGTATGAAGATCTAAGGGGGAATAGATCTGGGGTAACGACCTCTGACTATCAGTCGCTCTCCCCTGAAACAACAAGAAAACAGCCCAAAACAAAGCGACCCAAAATTAAACCAAAACCAGCTAGAAAACAATGAAATTATTGGACTGTAAGTGATTTTAAAATTGATGATTTTGAATTTGATATGTGAGCATTATTTTGACTGAGTTTTAGCCGTCCATATGCAGCCAGTAGCTATTGGACGTGGCTAATGACATACAGAAAATGTCTTGTTTCCTGACTTCTACTACATTCCTATTGAATTTATTTGATGAATAAAAGTTACGTAATACCCGTTTATCAGTTGAATTCTTTGAGGTTTTGATGTCATAAATTGCTTATTTTRAGTGTAAATGCACACGTCCACTACGCTTGAATTCGAATTAAAAGCGCTTTAAACGTTATGGGAGTTCGGTATCTCATTTCATTTAGCGGCTCAGATGGGTGAAAAAGAGCGACCACCTAGTATRGAGAGCTGGGTTTGCTAGATAGCTATGCTATTTTTCTCTCTCTGATATTAGACGTACATATATAGCTCAAAGCTTTAACTTTCAGCTTTTTTAGCTTTTTACTTTACATTTTTCTCCTTTTTTTCTTCTCTTTTTACATTCTCTTTCGATGCACTCGTCGAGGATCATGGGAAATTCAACTACTCTCCCCAGTTTCACTCCTTATCATTGAACGCCTGGCTAATCTTATCAACTGTTGAGAAGTTTGTGTTGTCGATGCAGAAAGCAATGAAAAAATTCCTTTATTTTCGAGCTAAACATGTGAAAAAAAGTTTTCGCTTATAATAGGGGCTTTGATATGCTAACTAAAGTGAAATGGGCTTTTTAAAAGTGAATTTTGGCCCTTTTCTTTGGTTATTCTTGCAATTTTAGTTTCGATGCTCTTGTGCTTGTTTTCACCATGGAAATCGTCAGTGAAGGAAGGTAGGTTTGACTGCTTAGAAACAGTTACTTCCTTAGAAATACACATACTGAACTAGTACATATGCTTGATTTTTGGTCATAATATTAATCTTGAATTAGAGTCAAAATCGAGATCGGAGATCTCAGATTGTCACTGACAGTAGATTAAAAAAGGTTTCCACAGCCACTTACACGTACTGTACAAACTGGCATATTTGAATCTTTACACGTAGCTAATGTTAAGGCCATTTTTCATAGTTTGGAATCAATCAGTCGTCCATCAAGTACAGCAAGTGAAAAAGGAAGGCGATCAAGCCGAAAAGTAGGGGATATCGATATTAAATCTACTTCCTATATGTAATAGTGTTTACATGTCTCAGCATTTAAATTTTCTTTATACATAGGTGCCTTGTGCACAGAGGCTGCAGCCTTCTAGTTCTCTAGAGATCCTGCCCCCTGAAGGTAAAAAGAGCTTAATAGTTTAACTTTAAGTACACYAATGGTGAAATAAACATTTATTTTAGGAATTATATCATATGGTCATACTGTATTTACATAGAGTAAAGTATCAGATGCATGYGCAGTATATTATATTATTTTATCCTAGGACATGCCATATGCTTTATCATGCGTTGGAGACGGCTTTGAAGGAGAGCAATGGAGGAAGATTTCCTGTGACTTTTTGGCAATGTTTTTTTCTAAGAAATAATTAAGTGCTTCGGGATTTTACAATAAGCTAGCAGCTTTAAAGTTTGCTGTTTTTCTAAAAATAATTTAGTGCTCCAGGCTTTTACAATAACTAGCCAGTGGCTTTAAAGTTAACTGCCAACTCCTTTTTCGTTTCTATCAAAGATCTTCTGTTCCTTGTATCAGATCACAGCCAACTACTTCAGACTTATGACCACCTACTCCAAAACATTCTCCTTCATAGCAAATGAATGTTTTCAAGAGAAGCATCCGCCAGTAATACTTAATCTGTTTATRAATGTCACTTTTTGTCCTGCCCCTCCCCTACTATGATTGTTTCACAAAAATAAGCCACTACCAATCTGGCTTATTACCATTGTTACAAAAAGCAAAGAACTGGGCCACTTATTATTCAAAAGTTGACTTTCTTTCTATTATTTTTATTTAGAAATAATTGGAATTCCAAGTGAGGTAAATTAAATTGATATTACTTTGTCTCGTTCAATATATGTATTTCCAGAAAATATGCAAACTCCCCTTGATATCTTACCAGTTATATCTTATCTGTGTAGCTTTAATTAGCTTTAAATACCCGTAAAAAGAGCACTGACAGTAAGACGGGGTATAGAGGGTGCACCTTCGAGCGCATTAAACATGAGCCCTTGGCTCGGGAGATTTGGGCAACTACTCCCCGCATTATCAAAGTAAAATAAATTACCTTTACCTATTTACCTTTTTTTGATAGGTTCTGCTAGGGTGAAGGGGGTCAATATATCTTCTTGAAAACTTCTGTACATGTACCTCCTACTGTAGAATATAATTAATTTTTATTACTTCTTAAGCTCTTCTTTGCTCTGGAGAAAGATGTTGAAGTTGAGGAATTTGATGATGAAGAAGTTGAAAGTGACAGTAACCATGGCAGTGAATCTTCCACGGATGAGGAAGTTGAAGAGTGCTGTGATGGTTCAGGTATGAAGTCAACTTGACTTTTGTTATTTCTTATTAATATTTATGATTATACGCATGTATATTATAATATTATCTTTTAAAAGGTTTAAAGTTTGAGGTAGAAAATGCGAACTCCAATGCCTACTGAATAATGCTTCCATATATACAATAAATTGTACTGTGTACACAGGATCTGCTCACCTCTCGCTAGTAAGACCCTGGATGTATTTGGAAACTTGATCTTGATGCTTGTGGGTGCCTAACAATAAATTTTAAAATAAGAGGACAAGAAATATGCATACTCCAATGCTTGCATAATGCTTCCATATACTTTATACATATGGCGTTATATTCCCGACAAAATTCAACATCAGGCTTTCAACATTCTTATAAAGAATTCAGTGTTTCACTTACAATGCAATATTGTTAGTTGCTTTTCCGACATTGGAGATTTCGATTTCAACTTAGTTGTAATCTCGTCCAACATTCGAGTTCCACGATTGAACATTTGTTAATAGCTTTCCGTGCCTGGACAAAATTCAACATTGCTCTTTTGACATACATCAATTTCAACATTCAACTTTGAGAACGTTATTTTCTAAACAGTATATTAAAATGAACCACTAGAGTTATACAGTGGCTGGCTCACCCCTCACCAGTGAGACCCAGCATGCATTCCCCAGCTTACCATTTGTTCCATCCAATATTTTGGAGGCACCTGTAGAGTCAAGTGAGTCCCCCTAGGAGGACACATTAATTCAATATGAAAATTAATTAGAAATTTTGTTAGATAAAACATGTTGCTTTTTTGACAGGGAATCAAATTGAAGCATTAGAGAGAGATGAAGAATTGTCCCCAARTACAAGCAGAACAGAGAACACCAGCCAAAAAGAAGAAATTTCTGTGCTCACAGAAGGAGAAGATATCGATCCTCAAATCAAAGAGGGAATGGAAAAGATAAAGAAACTTGATAAAATACTTTCTGATAAAATGAAGGTAAACTTGCGAACTTGTTGGCATTAATCAGATATTTTATTTGAAGGGAAATACTAAAAAGAGCTTTTAATTTTCTTGGGACTTTAAGCTACAGGACGGCAATGACAACAACAAAGGCAGCAAGCAGAAAAAAACACATCTAATAGATTTTCACTGGAGTGTATACACCGAATCGAAATATGGCGACCAATTTGAATAACTATTGTTCTGCACTGACCAGCGACTGACTAGCCTCTCATACATGGGAAAAYGCTTTTATGTTTCCTCRTGAACACAAGGCTAGTCAGTCGCTAGTCAGTCGCTAGTCAGTGCAGAACAATAGTTATTCAAATTGGTCAACATATTTAGATTCGGTGTATGAAACACTCTGCATCATTGCTGTCATACAGTATGAAGAAAGTACAGAAATGTCCTTGTTTTATGTCATAAAGAGAATGGCAATGACAAAAAGGTCATCTTTGTTTATTTTCATTTGAAGTCAAGTGCTCCCAAAACGTGCTTTACTTCAGTCTAAAAGTACATTGCCTATTGAGTAAAATGATATACAAACATGAAATGTCATGATTACGATACACCAAGTGGTATAAATTGTGTTGGATTACATGTTACAGTCACCAAGGAGTTCGGACATCGTTCTCGGATTTCCGTAAAAATGTACTGACTTAAATGAACTACTGTATTTACTTGGTTTGTTTAGTTAGTTCTCTAAATACAAGTAAAATATCATTTTTCTAACTTGATCGAAACTTTTCTTATTGCTGTTAAGAGAGCTAACCAAAGAAATTTATCTAAATTTTCTCTTTAAACTCAGTGAATTTGTATGGGAAATCAAGAACGATGTCCWAACTTTTTGGTGACCGTAACACAATCCAACCAAGTGTTTACAAAGTGACGGCTATCACCGAAAAGGTGAATTGACTGATGTTTTCACCTGCAATGTTGTACTATAGCTTAAACTCCCTAATAATAATGATGAACCATAAGAGATGATGATAGACGTGACAACCAAAGTCTAATGACTTTGTGACAAAGGGTGATTTCATGAAATGTGTAGTTCCAAAAATTATCCATACCCCCCTCACGGAGGAATTTTTTCAAGACACCCCCCTACCCCAAGGAATTTCCAATTTTCTTCCATACAAACTCTGTAATTTTTGTTCTTCCTCTGACCCCCTTACTTTTCAGRAATTCCAAACTCCTCTGTGGGGTGGGTATGGGTGACTTCTGGAACTACACAATCTGATTCAATGACAGTTTTTATTTTTTTTCGCAAAATATGAAATGGCCATTTTTGTCATTTTGTGAAACATGATTTAACCCTTTTATTGTTCTTGAAAAGTGAAATGGCTGCTTTTATTATTCTTTAAAACATGATTTGGCTGTGTTTTTTTTTTGTGAAGCGTGAATCCTACTCCCCCTTTTCCAACCTAATAATAATAATTAATAGAATAGACCTAATTCGTTGTGGTACAATGTTTTCCCATTACAAGCCACATGTCATTCCYTGAGCATAAAATTCTTCGTTTGAGTTGTATCCATATGCATGTGTCTTCTCATTCACAACCATTAAACAAAGAAATGATACTCTAGGGAATGACGTGGTCTATTAGTAATGGAAAAACATTGCATCACCACACATAGGGTTCTAATATACGTTGTTCATATTTATAAATCCTTGGCCACAAGATGTTTATCAATGTATTTTTTTGTTGGAATTTTTTGTTGGAATTTTTTGTTGGAATTTTTTGTTGGAATATATTTACACACCAGAAAGAAAAAGAGGTTAAAAACCAAAGGCATCAAATGGAAAAAGTGTGGAAAGAACAGCTACAACAAATGGCAAAAGCACAGGGAGATGGTAGTCATGGCATAGTTGGAGCTACCTTACTTGCTTTAGAGCTGGGGAATGAAGACGTTCTAGGTAAATAAAACTACATGTACTGCAAACTTTATAAAGTCAATAGCTGTTATGAATCTTTTGCATTCTGATTGGATGGGAGCACATGCTTCTAGAGAGCACACAGCACTTGTGCATGCACTCACTTTCCATTTTGTCATTTGTATCCAAAAATAACTGTTGAACTAAAATTTGTATTTTATAAAAGCTGACTTGCTGTGTTGTGTTGTGTTGTGTTGTGTTGTGTTGTGTTGTGTTGTGTTGTGTTGTGTNGTTGTGTTGTGTTGTGTTGTGTTGTGTTGTGTTGTGTTGTGTTGTGTTGCGTTGTGTTGTGTGTAGATAAAGCACTTGTGGATTAACAGAGTGATACAGTAACTCAAGAAGTGTCGAGAAGAGTCGTGCTTCTCCTAACACTTCTCTTGTGCTCTACAAATCCCTGTGCTTTATAACCAACTACTCACAGCACATGTGCACGTTTTCTATTTCTTCAATAAAGCATTAGGTGTGTCAATACAGCTAGTCCATGCATGGTAGTCCAGCCAAAGATTTATTTACATAGGTACAAAAAAGCTAACAAATAGATGAATAAATAAAAGATTACACTTACTCTGATACTACCCCCAAGTAACACATGGTTTGTCTGGGTCGACATCTTTATCGGAGCTATAAAAGTCTTTGCAACATTTTGCAAAACAATGCTAGAGTGCAAATCATATATCCTTGAAACAGCACAAAAACTAAATAGCACTAACAACACATTTATTTTTATTTTGTTTTCAATTGTTTTATTGATGCTACTATTTCGCGGAGGTATGGTTTGCACTCATTTCAATTGAGAATATGAATTTGTATTGATTTTAGGGTCCAGTCGTGACGATCCTATTACTCCTGTGTTTGCTACACAGCCACTTGGAACTGAGGAAAGCTATACTCGATACCAAAGCTCTTCAGCTTCAGGTATGTATATTTATATTGATGGTTTTCAACCATTCCCAAGGGAATTAAATAAAAAAAAAGACCCGGCGGCCATATTGCAGGATATAACAAAAGAATTCATTGACAATTCTTTTGTTAAGTTCCTCCAACATGGCCACCGTGAAAACATCAGTTGGTGCCAACTGAACGTCTTGATGTCCTAGAGAACTTCGCATGAACTAATGATTAGTATTCGACGGATAAAAACAGAAGGAACATCAGAAAAACGCTATTGGAAAATTATTTTTGGAAAATGATAGCTTATTGTGTATTTTCTCGCAAAATGTAAAAACCTAAAAATCAATCTTTCATAGCAATTTTGGCGTACCCTGATTTACATTCGTCGCAATATTTTCATCTAGTTCTTAACTTTTTCTCTTTAAATTGTGTCTTTTTCTCTGACAGTAATTTGTAGAAAGTTAGCCCGTACTTGACACCATCGTCACCATCATCCGTTTTCGACTTTTCTACCTCTCTTTCTTTCACAGGCTTTTCCTTCTTGTTTGTCGCTTTGTCGTCTGCAAAAGTTGACGTCCTCACAATATCTGCGTGTTTTCTTTTTTATCATGTTTTTTTACTTTTTTTTTTTTATTGACTGTAGTAAAAAGTTTGAAAATTTTGCCTTCATCATTCTTGTCAGTTCTGTTTTACTGTTTTTCTGTTTTCGCTTCGTCCTTTAATTCTTCGGGCATCGGCGATGCTGTCTGCCATTACCGGCAATACATCAGCCCTGCGTCTTCGGTAGTGGGCAATTTGATGTTACATTCGATAAGTATTTCGTGGTCTCTTAGTTCTCTTAGCCACTCCGCTTTCTTTCTTCTTCACTTTCTCAGTTTTATCCTTTTTAGAATAACAGTGAGTGTGTGTGATTTGCACTAGTTCTCCTGCCTCGTCTAAACCTGGAAGTCGCCGGCCAAGTCCCATGGAAAACTCAGTGTGAAACTCCACAGCCTTAGGACTTGGACACCAAAAGTTGTCAAATGCATAATCAAGATGTTCCTGTTGAGTTTTGCATGAGACTAACTTGAAAGACTGGAATAGTCTAGTTACACTCGTGCTTCCCATGCAGTTCATTGTTGTTTGTTTCTTGTGCGTCTTGAGTCGTATTACTTATGTTTCTGGGTGGGAGTTTAGTCGTAAAGGAATAAAAATCCGGGATGTATATCGATGAAAGTGAAAACTGAAGCTATTCTAGAAATTTTTCGTTGACGTCGCACCACGTAAAAGTGAACTTTTTTAAACACATTTTAACAACATGACGTCATTTGACATTTATAAGCTATCTCGTATACGTGAACCTTTTGAAATTATGTAATCAATTGGAGAGTTGCTTAGCAACAGGACGTTATTTGCCTTTGCATGTTTTGGGTGCTGCTTAGCAACATGTCATCATTTGACATTTTGTATGTTATTTTGTACTCTTGAACCTTTGGAAGTTATGTCATATTCGAAGGTTGCTTAGCAACGTGTTGTCATTTGTCTTCGTGTGTTTCGAAGGTTACTTAGCAATTGACGTTTATGTGCTTTCTCTAACACGTGGACCTTTGGAATTTGTAGTTTTCAAAGGTTGCTTAGCAGCTAGTAACGTCTTTGAAGGTTGCTTAGCAACTTAGTGTCATAGTGAAATTCGCATTTTTAATAATTACACGTGATCTATTTCGAACTTTTAGAAACCGTGTCGTTGCTAAGGCGGGGCTTAGAACTTTGGAATTGGAATTTATATTTGTTTCTGAACAAATTCTACACTTATGCATTTGCCATGCAGTAGAGCAGTTTTCGTATGACCGTGAAAAGCAATCTCGTATGCAGAGCTTACTTCCTTCTCGTACTTCCTCTTTCTTCGCCGCAAGCCAGAAGAAACGCAGGCTCTAGTTACAAGATTGCGTGAAAAGCTGGTGGCACCACATACCAGACCAATTATACGGCATGTACCCGGAACACGGCACGAACACGGCGCGGACACGGTCATGCCAATGTCATGGAACTGCAGACCAATCATGTTGCGCGAGAAAAAAATCCACCAATCAAAATTCTAGAAAACAACACGATCACGATCGCGGCAAAGCACGCATACGGCACCGACAGTCATACGAAAGCTTCCCTACTGACTAGATTTATGTACGAATGCAGGGAGTATTACTCGTGGTTCATCTCGGTCGTCTACACGTGATGATGGAGCGAAAAAGAAAAAGAAAGCCGGAAAGAAACATGGCGATGGAAGAAGAAACAGCGCCCAGAATGACGAAGAGAAAACAGACTCAAACAAGAAAGCTCGCAGGACTAAAGATAAACACAAAGACTCGATACACGATTTCATTCAGCGAAACAAAAAGGTAACAAAACGTAATAGAGCCCTTACATTTATAGACACTCAATTTGAAGCGGACAAAAAAAGGAATTTCCATCTCTTGATGATTGGAAACCTATTGTTATGTAGTCCTCCAAATTGAGTTGCATTCCGACGTGCTGAAAGGGGTCTATAATTATAATAATAATAATAACTTTATTTATTTATATAGCCCTATTTCCATAAAAAGCCCAATAGTGCTTAACAATTATAAAAAATAAATGAATAAAAATTTGCGATTATGTATCTATAGACATAGAGTATCTTCCTCCACCAAATTCTTGAACGAATAATCTAAATGTTTTTATAATTTAGCTCGCTGCTGATGCTGCAAACATAATCCCTATGACAGACGACGAAAAGAAAAGACTGGACGATCTTCTTTCCTCAGATATCAATGAAATGATGGAAGTAAGTGCTCGTGATGAATAGCTACATGATGATAATAATGATGGTGATAATAATGATAATGACGACGATGATAATGAGATTGGTTATGATGAAGATGAATATGGATAATCAATAGGGTTGTGATGACGGTACATGATGATGATGATGATAATATGGTGACAATAATGATGATGATAATGACGATGATGATGATGATCAGAATAGCAAGGCTGTTCAGTGCTTATGACAATGGTGATGATCATGATGGTTATGATGATAATACAGTAATGATGATAATGACGTTGATGGTGAGGAGGAGGAGGAGGAGGAGGAGGAGGAGGAGGAGGAGGAGGAGGATGAGGAGATGAGGAGGAGGATAAGGAGGAGAAAGAGGAGTAGGATGGCAAAGCTGATGCTCATAGTAATGGTGATGACATAATCCTATAGTGACATTTCTGCTCCCGATGATGATATTGGCCGCTTATGATACCGGCAAAATGACGACTACCGCTACTGATAACGGTGTCAGGGTAGTGGGGATGTCTGTTGACATTGCTGTTGGTGATGATGATGATGATGATGATGGTGATGATGATGATGAGGGTAGATACTGGTGATAGCAATGACTACTGGTGATGATGATATCTCTGTTGCTGATAATGATGTCTGCTGATAATGATTGTAATGATGATGGTGACGGCGATACCAATAGGCCATTTGCAACAAACAGTCATGTGCTGATATATCACTTCAATAACGAATCAGTTCACGTCCCTTGGGAAAGGCTCTGCTGGAAGGCAAACAAACTTCAAAATGCTTGCGTATCTTAAAATTGAAAGCATCTTCTTAGGGAAAAAGAAGTATTTTGGAAGAGGTTTTGGATATGACATTAGTAATCCAGCAAAAGTTTTTTAAATAAAGGAGGCCCGAATTTTTTTGCCATCCAGTAATAGTCTACTCTCCCCCACAGCCACTTTCAGTGTTGCGTGACGACACTGAAATCGGCTGTGGGGGAGACTAGTAACAGTCATGTAATTATTTGTTGCAAATGGGCTACTGGCATCGGTAAAGTTAATCACAGATGATAATAAAGTATCCTTACGCGAAAAACATTCTTCCGTATTAATGAATATTTCCTGCTTGCTAGAATCCTTACGATGATGACAGTCTTCGGTTAACCAGTGGCATTGGTTTTAGGCCGGACGAGGAATCTGCACGAGTTCTGGCTGACATTGATGAGTGAGTAGATTTTTTCCAAGGTTAAAATGATTACATTGTTGTTACATATAAGTGCGGTGTGAGAGTGCGACAGATTGAATAGACCCCTTGCATGTGACATCAAAGTAGCTCAATAGCGCAGCGCAGTCGTGATGTGAAACAAACTTACAAGTTTACTTTCAGCAGATAATTTTCACAGCCGATCGCAGTTGATCTTAGTTTACATGGGTTATTATTGTAACTTTAAGTAAAAATAATAAAATCGGTTCGTAGCGGTTAAACAGAATGCAATTTTTTTCCGAATCTTTAAGCTATTTTTAGAATCAGTGCGCTGCTCCATTTGGAGAACAAAATAAGAGAATTTCAATCTACTAAGAATCGGAAACCTATTGTTTTGTCCTCCAAATTAAGCTGCATTCCGTCGTGCTGCAAGGGATCTATTAGAAATTAACTCTTTAACATTGTTCGCGTGAAAATTGGAACATTGATGCCCATGCAAGGAACAAGTGTCTATTAGTAAAAAGCAATATATTAGCAAAAGATCGTCAACAAATTTTTGGGTTCCTTTTGTTGTGCTTACCAGGAAGCTAAAAGCCTTAGTACCGCCCAATGAGCTGGAAATGTTGTCGTCGCATGCACTCACAGATACGCCGCTGACCCAAAGATCCGAAGCACTCTCAGATTCAAGTTCTCAAGTAAGAACCTCTAAGATCACTTCACCCTTCAGTAATGTTATACTATCCCTCCTTGTTTGACATGTCTCTAATTTTGAGCATTGCTTTCGTTTTGAATTTTTTCTCCTTTTCAGGCCACTTCAAGACACGTGCTAGAGAACCTAGATGATATTGGTAAATTTATTTTATGTATTATCATTCCCCCCTCCCCCTCCCCTCCCCTCCCCCCGCCTACCCTAAGCTGAAAGTCAGCATTTTTACCTTTGCACGGTGCGACCTCACTAGATGAGCAACCAACAGGGAGTAAAACCTTATAATATAATAACCCAAAATCTCAAGAATAAAGCTTGGATAGGAGATAGTAGGTTCTGATATTGACTAGCGTCAATCTTTTGACAGATATTGGTGAAAGAGTCCTTCGCGAAGGAAAAGAGGCTCGAGACATGCACCAGAGGATAATGGACATCGAAATGGAACTCAAGAAGCTGAAAGAAATATCTGAAAATGAAACTGAGGTAGGATATCCTTTAGCTGTAAAACAAATCGCTTGGCATCCTTGTCTGCGCAAAGGGAGGGTTGGAGTAGTTTCATTCGCAGCCGTTAGGGACTTTAAGATTTGCAAAATCTATGACGGCGACGTCAACCGGAAGTGTAAATAATTTCTCTTTGGGGTTCTGTTCATTGGAGATTTCATTCAGAACATTGTCAGTAAAGTCAACTCATCCACAGGTAAGACAGATTTTAAAGACGCGAAACCCYAAAGTGAAGTAATTTACTCTTCCGGTTGACGTCGCCGTCGCAGATTTTGCAAATCTTAAAGTCCCTAATGTCGGTACTGGGAGTGGGGAAGGGCCCGAGAGAATCTGGGACCCACAATAATGACCACTGCAAAGGAGACTACCCTTCCCTTTTGAATGGTTTGAGATACGGGGAGAAAGAAACTGCCTACCAATTTGAGGCGAGGCTACATGGTACACCCAAATGTATCCCAGAACGTTGCTTGCAATGACACATCATAAGAAGCACCTTGATTTTGAATTCCCCAAAAACAACCTGCGTTTGCTTGGGTATTGATTCCATGTGAAATATTAATTCATATTCATATCTCATGTTGTCAGTCTTGTTCTCCAAGCCAAACGTTTATATGACCTACACATGCATATGCCAATTGAAGTGATGAGAGTTAAAAAATTTTTGGTTTAGAACCAATGTACTGGTGAAAACTACACCTTTATGAACTGTGCATGATAATGAGTTATTTTTTAGATGACTTTGAGGCCTCTTCTATTCATTATAAATGCTAATGCCGTATTTCCTGAAATTTCAGAACACTATATCTCGAGCCCTGTTGGACAAACTCCTCGGAGAAAATTCGCGCACCACATCACGAAGCACCACAGTAGCTGAGTCAGTTCTATCGTCTCTCGCAACGCCATGCCATTTAGCTATCGGTCAGGGCGACCAGACACCCAGTGATGAGAGGGACAAAGAGGCCACGCCCAGTACCCCTGGTGCTATATCAGCCTTGAGTGACGTCACCCTTACGAGTACAGATGTTGATACGCCGCGTACTTTAACAAGCGCAAGTTCTATGGGAACGTAATTTATCAGTTAGTAGGATCTTAAGGTGCGATTAAGCGGAGAAATATTTTCTGCAACTTGTCTCACAACGGCGCTGCGACACAAGCGCAAGCGCAAGTTCTATGGGAACGTAATTTATCAGTTAGTAGGATCTTAAGGTGTGATTAAGCGGAAAAAATATTTTCTGCAACTTGTCTCACAACGGCGCTGCGACACAATTTGCATGGAGCATTGTAGCGTGTAACTTTCTGCGCAATTTGAAAAAATGTCGTAAGACGAATTGTAGTAATTGCTGCAAAAAGAAGAACTCATTTCTACTTTTGGCAACGATTGCGTCTCCGTCGTACCGTGTAAACACTCTTGCAGCTTGTATCGCAACGCTATTGCGAGACAAGTTGCAGGGAGCTCTGTGTAATCGCGCCTTTAGTACAGATTTCTTAGGACGGTGAATAACTCGGATACAAACGGCCTGCCGTGCCGTGTCCTTTCTTAGCTTCATACTTGAGTGAACATTGGTTACATGGGCTGTAATTGGCTCAGCGCATGACTSAATACTCCGTAGTGTGACCTGGTCATGTTTTTAACTTATTTTAAACCCATCTATAATGTATATATTGTGTAAAATGACAGATGGGTCATTTAAAACCAGAGTTGTATACTAGTGTGAATAAATGATTCATCAAATCAGGATATCATTACTTCAGCTCTTTATGATAAAGGTTTTCAGTTTCGAACCGAAACGTTCCAAAGTTTTAAAACATTTTAGAGTCAAAGACAACCCTTTTTTAGTTTCTTTTTATGCCTGACAGCAATTATAACTAATAACCCTCAGTCAACAAGGAAACAGTTTTCATCAAAAGGTTTGAACTTCCACAAAAGTTCAAATTTTCATTGTTGACCC